GCGAGGTCAAGATCGCATTAGGGGCGATTAGGCCACTTTTCGCCCCGGGGGCTGATTGTGGAAGGTGTTTGGAGAGATATTTTCTACTTCAACTTGTAGTTCACGAATCACGCAAGTCGCGCGCCGCCCCTCAACTGAATCGGGAAGAGCTCACGCGAGCGAAATGTTCCGTTTCCGTTTTTCAGTTTAGGAATTGGTTGTGCGTGTGTGGGTGGAAGTAAGCCCGAAATTATTAATCTCCTGACTCTTTGCATGGCCGATTTTACGGTCGGTAAAAAAAGGCGCGATGCGTATTGGCAATTTAATAATTATTTCCCGCCTAGTGCGAGCGGGATGCGACATCTGCCCGAGTTGCACTTCCCGTAATTCTCAAGTCTTTGATGCTTCAAGAGCGCGAGCAGATCCTTGTTTGTGGCTGACACAGTGGAGCAAAAAAAAGAAGCACGGTGCAGAAGTTTGAGTTCCTATATTGAATTATTGCAGATTGATTAAAAAGATGCACGGGTCTTAATTCGGCCAGAAAATATCGGCCAAAAGTTCGCAAATAACACGGTACATTTTTCATTTTTAACCGAATGTCTATTTTGTAATATTTTCTGATAAATCTGTCAAGATTCTGAGGCGGTAAAAGCATGGACAATGTTAAATGTTTAAAGAAGTGCACTTTTCAATAAGATTAACCACAAAGGGATGTCAAGTTGTTTTTATACATTTTAAGAGAAGTAGAAAGTTGCACAAAATGTGTTCTTTTTTCATGGCATAAGCCCTTTAATACTTGTGCTTTAATTTTAGATACAAATTTACAATCTTGATTATCGTGCAAAAACTAAACCGATGTCTTTTACTTTTAGTGAAAGTCCGTGACCCAAATGGCTTGGGCAAACGCAACAGAATTCATCAAAGAGCGCACCTACATTGCACATTAAGTTGCTGACAAACAACGAATAGTATTTCGAGACGCCATTGACGCCAGGCATTGCATTTCGTCCCAAATTTTTTTAGAAGGCCAATCGACACTTTTCAAAGATAAACCACAATGTGGTTACCGTCAAGGGCGGATCCAGGGGGGGGGGGCCAAAGGGGGCCATGGCCCCCCCAAAACGAAACCAATTTTTTTTGTTTTTTATGTGACATCGGAATACAGGCAGGCAATGAGTACACCACCATCTTTTCCTCAAAAAAACATTGGTTAAAGTGGTCAGAAATTGCCTCAGATCGCACCACAGAGCATCTAGAATCCAAAAAAATTTAGGGGCCCTTAAGCGGGCCCCGAACCCCACGCCGTAATTGTTTGACCCACTTTTTTGGGGGACCAAATATTTTTTTGGGCCCCTCCAAAAATTGTGTTCTGGATCCGCTTTTGGTTACCGTTGTCTCTTCATCATTCCTTACAGGTGTGAAGGAACATCAACCGAGAACACATAAAGAACACTAAGAGCCATCTTGGCTAATCAGCTTTTTTTATTAAAGAAAAAGTACACAGTCCTGGGTTGTGATTTTCCATGCACAATTACGTTTCAATAATAACTGGTAGAAAAATAATAATAAAACTCTAGAAGGATTAAGCCATCCAATAAAGATTAAATTTATTAATCATTAATTTACGAAGGATTTTCGAATTCCTTGTCATTTTGTCTGGGTGTCTGTCACATTATGCGAACTGAGGGGCAATAAAGCTCTCCACCGACACCAAGTCTAGGGCCTATAGCGCCTCTGTGTTCTCTTTTATGGAGACCATTGATAAAAAGAAACGTCTTCCTTCGATGTCCGATTAAGTGGAGTAAAGCGTTTATATATATATATATATCTGTACGATCTGTTTCACTGATATCTAAGTGGAGATCAGTGGTGATAAATGGAACTGTATCTGGGATGGATGCGGCACTTGCGCCCTCTTGCGTTAAATGACCATTTGCTATCTATTTCACGGATATATATGTGGAGATCAGCGTATCTTAGATGGATGCGGTACTTGCGCCCTCTTGCGTTAGATGACTGGAAATCAATTTTGTCTGAGGTTCCATTAATATTTGAATGCATGGTTTCAACTTTCAACAGCGCACTGGTACCGTTCTTACCACATCTACTTACCGGCCAACCCCACGCCCATGCTTTTCACATTAGTCACATAACGCAGGTTACGTCAAAACACTTCGCTGGTCAACTTGTATAGGTGGTCGTGCATCTGGAGAAAAATAAAAAATATATCTCGTATTGGCCTATGCTTCTTACAGTAACAGTACTGTCTGTTTTTGTTTTGTCCGCATTTATTATTAGCTTTGCTATAAACTGAAACAAAACAAATTCTACCTCCTCTCGGGGAATATCATTCGTTTTATGGTGGTCTTCTCTTTGAAAGTTTGAGTGAGAATTTCTCGAAAAGTCAATAGTCACCGTCCACCAAAAGTTGAAAAGAAATGAAAGATGACATGTTGATCATCATTTTTTCTGTGCAGCCTGAACACCCGTGAGAGTTCCGAGTATTTTAAAAAGAATTGTGAAGAGTGGGGATTTGGGGACTTTTATACTGGGGTGCACCCTTAATGTCAGTGGGCGTGGTTTAAACTGATGCGACGTCACACTGTACTAACGAACCGGCTTGAGCGACGGAAACAGTTTCATTGTCTACGGCTGCAGGCAAGTAAATCGGTCCAAAATCGCCTACGCCAGCCAAATCACGATTTGCATGCCCTCAAATATTTGAGCATATTTTGGAGCATGAACTTGAGGGTTTGTAAAAAAATATGGGTGGAAGCCGTGCACAGGACTGTGAGCTTGTAGTTCCGTGCAATTTGGATGAAATTGGAGCCCGAACAGCGCTCTATGTTGCAATGGAGTGTAGTCGTCGTTTTTCAAAATGGCGATGGGCTTCAGGATCATTTTAAGGGGTGATCATCTTCGGATGGAAATTTCTCCTAAAAGTCATTCGTTAACCCCCCGAAAATTGAAAAGAAAATGAAAGATGATGAAATTAGCTTTAATTTAATATGTGTCTCGAATACCTTGGAGAGTTGTGAGTATTTTTACTGATTTTTTGGAGTGAGGGCATTTATCATTGTATTGGGGTCTATGGCAGTTTATTCCAATACTGGTCTGCAACCCTACATAGCATCTCCTGCTAGGGACGTACGTGTAGCGCCCTCATTAGTTGCAATGGCCATTCTAATCAACTTTTTTAAAGTTTAGTGCAGGAAGATGTACATGTACATTGTTAATGAGGTCAGAACTTAAGACTTCGTCTGGCTTAAACAGACCACCAGAAAAAAAACATACACGGCAAATTAAATCTACTCAATATGAAAAAGCAATACACTTAAGCAAACATAAGTGAGAGACGCCGCTAGAAGCCAAAATTTGAATACATGTAGCAATTTTATTAACATCGTGGAGCCAACGAAATTGCACATTTTATCAAATTTTTTTATAGAAATCTTTGAGAAAGCTTCAAGTACTCTTGCATAATTTGCATAATGTAAAAAAGAAAGACGATTTTACTTCAAATCAACAGTATTACGGTTTAAAGCATTAAAATCAGTGGTTAAAAATACAATTTCTTTTAAAAGACTCGAAACCTTTTTAAAAAATGGTTAGAATTAAGTTTGATAATAAAATGTGCGTTTTTAAGAATATCATCTAAACTATTCATACTTTCCTAATTCTCCCGAGTATCTTGTTGAATATTAAGCATGGTCCTCCCTAGCTTTTTGAACTGAGAGGAGACAAGGAAGTAAATTTCATTTCAACAAGCAGAGGGACACTAAAACCCCTGAAGAAATAATTATCATGATACCCAATCTATTGGTCACTACTGTACTGAAGTAAGCAAAACACGAATCAAACCGAATTCAGAAAGGATTAAGTATCGCTATATAAACTTAAGCTATTAATCAGATTATCAGACATGAAATGATACATCTCTCAGCTATTTGATTATATAAAATATATATCTTACTGAACATGTAGTAGCCTCTTTATGAATATCTTTGGATGTTTCAAAAGTTATATTTAGAGTGCTCTATTTGGCACTGGAATTACACTACAAATTTACACACATTTCATTATAACATATCTTATTGATTAAGTATTATAAGCACAATCGTTTGAGATAACCTTATTCATTAGCACTAGGTATATGTATGATATTGAACCAGTTTGTTGATGACTATATAATTTCATACATTTAAATTTAAATTTGGTACGACGAGAAATACTACAAACTTAGATGAAACATCCGCAATCAGTGGTCATACAGGCTGTCCCTCAAACAAGTTAACAGTCGAAAAGCAATTGATAAAAATATTATTGCATATGAGTTTTTGAATATTTTCAAATCACCTCTTAAAGTCAGATAACCAATCTACCATACAAACTATATTTCATTCAAATCGATGCATTGTAACAAACGCTATGCTTCATCGCACTCAAAATTTGAAAATCGTCTTGGGCCACTTTCCTTGAAAGTGAGAAAGCGCAGTTAGAGAAACACACAAAGGATTTATTTCCTTTGTTCAAGAGTAACGTGTCACTTGTTCTACCGGCTTCGATCTGTAAACTTGATCAATAAAAAAGGGGTTTTTCAAGTCCCGTATTGTGATTGCTGTATCTTTTGAACAAAACATCCTAATTAAACCAACTAAGGCCAAAAAAAAGTCTCCAGTTTCTGGTATAGAGCTTGTCCAAAAAGTGGTGCGGCGACAGGGCTTTTTTTTTTTTCTTACCCGACTTTTTTGCTTCAAATGTCGGCTGATGACTGCAAATGGTGCTCGACTAAACTTAGTACAAATATATGGGAGTCCAGAGAGGCCACATAAAGCTTATTCTCGATCATAACCCAATCTAAAAACACGTTAAAATTGTGCAGCAGGAGGATTCCAGTCAAACCAGTGAGTTAGGCGGTTTTGAGACATCATCTTTCCTTGAAAAAAAAAAGTTTTTATTTTGCCGACGCGCATGGCTACGGCGACGCGCGGGCATACCAGAAACCAGAGACTTTTTTGGGGGGCCTAAAAGCATTTGGCAGACAAATTATTTTACTCAGCAATACATTCAACACGATTTTGAATACTACCAACACTTTTCTGAAAACATGCCCGGTTCGACGGTTAGGTGTTTTGTGGGACAACCTGTACAAAATACTTTGGTTCTGGGTATATGCATATTTGATATGTAATTAAGCAAGATTCTGAAGGAACAATTTGCTAAAGTTTCCGATTGAAGACAAAGGAAGACTGGCACGCTCAATTAACGATGACATCACCGAAGGAACAGCTCTTCTCAATGGCTAGGTTGTAATCGTCACCCTTGCCGCCCTTGTACTGACTGGTGACAATCCGGAACCATCCTTGCTCACCCTGTGAAGAAGAACAGAAACCAGACAGTCAGATAATAAACAGTAACATGATACTTTTCAGATGAAAGGGCTGTACAGAATGCAAAAGTATCATTTTGAAGCAATTGGCTATTTAAGAATTAATTTCTGATTAACCAAAACAAATTAAGGAATTCATTTTTGAATAACAATCAGAATTGTTATCATCATTACTGAAAAAAAAATTTCAATTTCAATTTTGTGGTATCTGCCCCTTCCCCTAAAAAGAAAAGTTTCCAATTTTAGGCACAAATTGGGGGTTTTGTTTTGGAGTAGTCTGACTTAAATGGTTAGGGTTCACGACGTACGGTTGGAAGGACAAGGGTTCAAATTCTCCTGCTGGCAAGTTGTGTCTTTGGGAAAGTTACCCTACCCAAACTTTGCTTTTTCCACCAAGAATATTCTGGGGAGTAACTGGCAAAGGACTGGCATTCCATCTGATAAAATGAGGCATACTACCAGTAATTTCAAGCCAAAGTAACATGAGTCGAACCCCGGCCTAAAAATGAGCCACCTCAGCTTGAGAAAGACTTTGCTTATTTTACTTTCAGGTCAGGGTTTGGAAACATGCTGGGCATTAAGTGCCCCTGCACCCCCCCCCCCCCCCCCCCACCCACCATTTAAAATAACCCTTTGGTGAGTAACCTATACCCTTTGGGATTTACATTTGAAAAACATCTGGTACACTGTCTTGCTCAGAATGCTTGGCACATTTTAACTTTGAATTCTCCAGACCAAAGACACTGTTGCTATAATCACATGATTGGAGGCAAGCTCTTGCATAGTTACGCAAGAGACGCTCAGCACCAAAACATCGCTCACAATGGATGAGAATGGCACAAAGACACCAGACCATGCTGGAGCTGGGGGTTGCTAGCATGAGGCTAGCCCCGAATCATGTGATACGGTAACAGTCTCTTTGGTCGGGAGAGTGCAAAGTTAAAACGTGCAAAGCATTGGATTGAGTCAGCGTTCCAGATTTTATTATAATTTAACCCGCAAATGGCTTATTGGAAATAGAGATATGTGACCCGCTGTGCTTTTACGTGTAATGGCCTGCTGAACGTTGAGAGGGTGAAATTGTCCATCAAAATCCAAATTCCTTTTTGTCTTAAATGACATCTTTGATGCCTAAAGTTTAAGGATTCACTCACAGAAAAGTTGATTTCGATGAAAAAAAAGGAAAAAATAATCTTATTTTGTGTGCATTGTTCCCCTTATTTTACATCCAAAAACTATACTTTTAATCAATATGCAAATTAGCCAAAATATAGTAATCTGGTTTCAAAAAGTCTCTTTTTCCCCAAAATCATTGAAAATAATCATTGTAGAATCAATATCCAAAGTTTAAAAGTGATAGTTAAACAGAAACATGTTGGTTGCTAAGATATTAAAAGTGAGCTTTTCATGCCCAAGTCTACAACAGAGCAAGCTATTTCAAAGCCTGTTTTCTTAGTTGTGTAATTTGAACTCCATGGAACTAATTAATATGCAAATTCGTTATATCTCAACAACGAGAAGGGCTATACAGCTGTGTCATAAACCAAATGAAAGCTTAGGAAAAAAAAAAAAAAAACATGTTTAGCGTCCTGCCTCTTTGACAAAAAGGAAGGAGGAGGCCCTTTTTTTTTTTTTCTTCTTTTCAAAATGGCCGCCCGACACATTTTTCAAGACAACGCGGCCGGGCTATTTTTCAAGATGGTAACCAGCTTTTTTCAAAATGGCCGCCACTTGGACTCAGGAAATGACATATTGGCTTCTTATGGGCAAGATGCAACAGAAAATGAGACAAAAATGATGTAACTATGCAGAACCGAACATCTCTTCTGCGCAGAGATCGTTAAAATTTATCAATTTTTGTCTTTAAAAAAAAAAAAAAAAAAAAAAAAAAAATGGAGGCGGCCTCTAAAAAGGAAGCGGGCGGGGACGCTAAACATGTTTGTTTTTTTTACTTCGCCTTACATTGTGGGCTTTCCAGTCGTGCATATACTTTTTTTTTTTTTCGACTTATATCACCTTTTCCTGGAGTGGGTCACATATACCATGCATGACTTACCCAAGGCTCGCCCCAGGAGTTGCGGACAATCCAAAACTCGGTGCTGTTCTCAACGCCCCATCCTGCTACAGCCACAATGTGGTCAATCTGCAAGAGAACCCCCCAAAAAAGACCACAAAAATAACACCAGTAACACATATTAATCAAATGAATGAACTTAATCTTCAATGTAATTCTGGGTTTCAAATGTGACTTAGGACACATGAGAAAAATCTCAACCTTTCAATTCTCCTTTTTTTTTGGAAAGTAATGTAACAATCAGGGTCAAACAAACTGATATTTTAGTTTTGATGTAACAAAAGACCTACAGCTGCTATGAATCCAACCACACATGTCGTCGCAGAGCTGACATACCGGCGAATCAACCATTTTAGCGATTTCAAGATTTTGTTATTTTTAGGGTTTATGAAGGTTGCTCCTTCAAGTATTTATGCCAAAATTCTTAATTTTTGTCTGGATTTCGAGATGCGGAGCTCCCTGTGGCGAATCAGTCACAAAAACAAATTCATAATTTGACATAGTGACGAATACGGAATTTTGCTGGTAACCAGCTTATGTAAGGTGTGCGTTCAAAGTACCAACGATTAAATAAGTGACCTGATGGATACTATGTTTCCTATTTTATTTCGAATATGCACTAAAAGGGTTATTATCGAAATATTAAGGGTAAAATACATTGCCCAGAGAAATGTCAAACTTCAAACACGAATTACTCGAAACAGGGTTTTCGCTTATTCGTGGGTATGTCAGCTCTGCGACGATGTAACCCCTCCTGCACCCCAGCAAGCATCACTTACCCCTGGGGTTGGGTTGTACTCCTCGTAAATCCTGCCGCCTCGGAACTGCTGCAGTTTTTTGGTGGCGTCGATCCCACAACTGTTACAAAAATTAGAAAAGTTGTGACAACCAAAGGGTGTTTATGGATTCTGTGGCTCAAGCAAAACGAAAGACATCCATTAAAAGTCGCTGACTGATGTCAGTATTTCAGTCGAGCTCATCACAAGTCCTCACAAGTCAAACACAAGTTGATTACAAGCTATCCGTTTCTAAGTCAAGTCATAAGCTATTCTCATGAAAACTAGGGCATTCCTTTGAAGTTGTCCAATCCCTCTCATCTGTGACCAGACTACTTGTAATGGACTTGTGATTTACTTGTGACAAGACTTGTGATGGGCTTGTGAGTTACTTCTGACCAGACTTGTGATGGGCTTGTGACTTACTTGTGACCAGACTTGTAATGGGCTTGTGATTTACTTGTGACCAGACTTGTACTGGACTTGTGATTTACTTGTGCAAAACTGTTGACAGACTTGTGATTTACTTGTGACAAGACATGCAATGGACTTGCAACTGACTTGTGACCAGACTCGTAATGGACTTGTGATGGACTTGATGGTACACTGTTATACAAAGTTCAATATCAAGTTGGCCAGTGGTTCCAAGGAAGCTTGGTAGTTGTCTGCACTAGTAAGATGTCTGCAAGCACTAGTAATCAGAAGGCCGCCTGTGCAAATCAGTCAGTTTTTCCAAGAAGATCTTGGCCATGACCTTTGACCTGACCCTTTCCTGTTGAGGTGACTCACCTGATTGGTCCATTCTTGTGGATCTCGGCCATCATCTTTGCCCGGCCGTTCAGCGATCCATAGTCGGCCACTTTCCAGACGGTGTAATTTGCAGCATTGATCGCCGCACACTCACCAAAGGTTGTGCAGGTTCCACACTGATTGAATGGTTTACAATCTATCAAATGTTAATATAAAGACAGAATTTATGATAAAATGAAAAACCATGAAAATTCAACTTCATGACACTTACTTTCTACTTGCAACAATATAGACCTGATCTTATCTTCTTTGTGTCTTTCTTATTATGAAAAAAGAAAAAAAAGGGGAGATATTTTGAAAAAATAAGGGAAATTTAAACTGAATTCATTGAAGCCTATTTAAATATCAACATTTGTCAATGCAGATTCAACATGTGAAGTTTATCTGAAAAAGAGGGGTATGGTTCAAAGAAAAACCAGAGAAATTAACTCATTTTAGTCTGTATAGAAATAGTATACTCCTTATAACAGTCAGGCAATACTGACTCAAATGCCAAGTTTAAACCTCTGGATCTCCTAAGATCCATTTCTCTTTTTTCAAAGACATTAACAGTGTTTTAGCTGAGGCTATCTAGTCCCATGTCAATTCAGGAGCTATTCCCATGAACTGTGCCAAACAAACTGATATTTGTTGTTCTTGTTCATCTCCTGTTACTAGTGACTTAACTAGTAATCAGACTTGTGATATACTTATGATCCATCAGAAGAATCTTTGACTACAACACTGGATTAGCAACTTCACATTGTATCTGCACAAAGATTTCTCAAGTCCTAATGACCTTGATTTTTGGCCTGGTAGTTATTGCAGGTCTCGTCCGGTATGCCATGTGATTTGGCGTAAGCATAGACCCCCAAGTCACCACCTCCATCACAGCTGCCAGCATTACCACAGTCGATGACGTTCTGGGGTGACAGGTACGCGGAGGGGAAGGCACCCTTTCGCTTGATGTTAATACGATCTGCACATGGTGAATAGAGAATTAGAGGGGTCAAGTAAAAAATCAAGCAGTTTCTGGTCCTCGCCCGCTTCCTTTTTAAAGCCCGCCTCCTTTTTAAATTTTATTTTTATTTCAAACATCAGCAATATATTATGCACATACGTTGTCAATATATTGTCTCTTTTTTTGGTTTCCAACAAAATTGTAGTCAAGTAGAAAGGGTTACATCTCCTTTGGATGCAATTTCTATCAGCAAAAGAGTCGAGAAAATGGAAGAATCCTTCCGCCATCTTGAAAAATCTCGTTTTGGAAAGAAAAAAAAACCTGCCACCTTCATTTTATTGAAAAAGCCCAGACAAGAAACCGTGTTTGTTTAACTCAGCCTATGCTCTGTTTCCTTGATATGCAAAGTGCATTTACAATTGCAGGCTACTCATTTTATTCACTTCTCAATAAACAGACATCAGGATCCCATTTTAAGAGTAAGGTTTCAAAAATTACACTGAAGGCTAATTCATAATTCACATGAATGCGGATGGGAAGTCAAGTTCATTTCACAAATTATTTTTTTTTTATTTAAAAGGTTAGAAAAATCTTTTGAGGAATCCTTGGGGGATCAACTCGGGCATTTCCACAGAATTATAAACCTTGTTCATGTTGCAAAAATGTCAAAATGGTCCAAAACCACCAGCATCAGCTGTTTGAAATTAAAATTTTCCGTTAAACTTCTTTTCAGAAACGGAGACCGAGGCTTCATATTACCTGCCATAGAGCTAGTGGTACCCATGGACCAGCAACTGCCGCAGTACTGAGGGATGTGCTGGTTGCGCGTCGTGCTCGCGTAGTTCACCCCATTAACGTTGCGCCAGTCCCAGGCAGTGGGCAGGTCATCGGGGCTGACATCCCAGTGGGGTCGTGGATATGTCCTGCATAACAGCAAGAATAAAAAAGACGTACTGACTATACCGTGATCAAGGGCAGATGGGGGTAGGAGGTTGGGGTAGCTATCTAGCCACTCCCCCCCCCCCCTTCCGTTTGACCAATTATTTACATATATTCATTTCAAACCCTGCTCTGGTCGGTTTTTTTGTTCAATATTAAAGAAAACAAATAATGTACCTAGTCAGTGTCCCCTTTTTGGTTTATCTGAATATTTACTTATGAATAACACTTCAATACCGTCCAACCGTTTACAATTGTGGGTTCCTCAATTTCTGATCATTTCCACAAAGCAGAACTAATGAAAAAGAAAAATAGGCGTTCATCATATTAATCATTGATGACTGATGTGTCTCTCTGACTGACAGTGACAGAATAATTGCCTAATTTCATTCAAATTTTTTCGAAATGGGGCTTAAAAGAACTGACTTTGCATTACTATTAGGCCCATAAATATTGCGACATACATCCATGTTTACGGTACTCCTAGAACTATGAGGCTCTACGTGGAGCCTCATAGTTCTAGGAGTAGGAGTATTGTTGATGTACCCTAACGTGGCGCGGCCCCTAACGTGGCGCACTTTGATTTTTCGCCTGTAGCGCCTAGCTAGAGCAAAGTTTTAACTGAAATTTCACAGAAAGTGAAATTTCATCAAGTTCTAAACACTCCCGTTTATAAATCGCAAGTTTATTTACCCGCTACAAAGTTAAAAGAAAAAAATTATTTTGGCGTGATTTTCCGATTTTATTTTCAAGTGCAAAGTGAACCCTTTGAAAATGCCCCGAAAAATAAGAAAATAATTTTGTGACAAACATCTGGCTGGGTATGTAGGTAGAGATAAAAATGATTTATCAGAATTTATCGAGTTTACAGAAATTCTTAAATGTTAATGTGGAATTTTCCAAGATTTATTTAAGTGCGCCACGTTAGGGAACACTCCGCCAAATTGTGCCCAATTTCCGGACGCCACCGTTTTTTAATTTCGGATTAAATTTTATGAAACCGAAATTGTTCACAGAGGTTAAACAGCAAGCATTAATAAGGTAAAAGTACCAGTATTTCACTGCATGAATTTGAGGTTTGTCAACAAAGAGGTTTGGCAACACTACACGAGGAAATTTGGGTAAGCTTCGAAGTGCGCCACGTTAGGGAACACGACTATAATATGTTTACGGGTCTATGCGCCATGTTTACTATTGCGCCATTTAGCAATGATCTCTCAACGTACCTCACTTCCTTGAATTTTTGGTTGAATTCCGGACGGAAACAAGGAGAATCGAGTTCCGCATAGGCACAACCTACAAACAGTAGGATGGCTAATGAAATCGAGGAATACATTCTCAATAATCTCAAGGAATATGTTTCAGATTGATGGCAAACTGTCATGAAACGTGATTTCCGTGTCGAGCAATTTCCCTCCGTGGCAACTCGGCGGTATATTGTTGTGCTACGTGCGCGTGACTCTTTATCACGTGAATACCATAACACCAGCCGGTAGACCACGTGAAAGATCAGGTGTTCAACGCACATGCGCAGAAACAACGCAAAGCGGAACGGGGGGGGTATATAATTATGGAAATATACTTAATGAAAACAAAAATTGTTCACAAAAATCTGCAAGGGGGAAGGCACGGTGCCCCCTGCTCCCTCTGAATACGCCACGGGGCGGGTGGCGTGGGGGTCCGCAAAAGAGAGAGAACATCCTACAACATACAGGAACAACATTAGCGGAACTAAGGGGTGGGGCATGGGGGGGGGGGTTACACAATAATAGGGAAAAGTTTTTAAACAGTGGCCAACCCATTGAGTATCATACAACACAGCGGCAGATCATATAGGGGGCTCCGGTCCGCCCAAAAAAGGAGAAAAATCCTACAGGAACAACATTGTGCTAACACTCCAAGGGCGGATCCGGAACACACATTTTTTTGGGGTGGGGGGGGGTGGGGGGTCAAAAGCATGAAATTGGGCCCTATATAAAATTGCTCAATAGTATTTTGTAATGGAGCGCAGGCATCATTTTTTCAAAATGGCGACTACTTTACGGGGTAAGATCCTTTGATGGAATTTTCTCCCAAAAGTCAGAGGATAATTGAGCAAAAATTCAACAGAAACTAAAAGATGATGACATAAGCTTTGATTTGGTGGGCATCTCAAACACCTTGGAGAGTTGTGAGTATTTTTTGATAATTTTCGGGAATTCGCGTAATAATCACTCAGGTCTATGGGAGTCGATTAGGTCTGGGAGTCCTCTCTGGGATTCCACTGGTAGTTATACCGTATACTTCGTGTAAATTGTTATAAATTTCCAACCAATTTAGCCTAACTTAGGGTCGGTTAGAAATGAGAATCAAAGAAATGCAGCAGTTCCTATTTTTAATCCCAATATGAAACACACGCAATTAACAGGAGCTGTTTGGGCAAACTACGTTACCAAAACAGCAAATATTATGCGCGAGTCGTGCGTTTAACTCCCAAAACAAACTGCGCGTAGGCTTGACCGTTAAACATGAATAGCGCCCTCAGTCAACTGAAAGTAATCACACAACTGATCGTCATTGCACTGTACAATTATTATGTAAACATTTACAATTCTTTCTAATCACAACAGAAAAGAACCCCTTTTATCTATCTTTAATCTTAATACATGAGCTGTTTCGGCGACGTAGCTAATTATGCGCGAACTACTTTACGTACGTTTAACCCCCCCCCCCCCCCCCAACCAAACTTGCGTAGATTTGACCGTTAAACTTAAATAGTGCCCTCAATTGACTGAGAGTATCACCACAAACAATCGTCGTTGAACAATGTACTCGACACTAGAATTCTTTCCAATCACTACATTACCAAGGAATTCGAAGACGCCTTACTTTCGCTTTCAATATTGGGCCGAATTGCAGTATTCAACTGCACTCTCGATTGGAGGAACTACCCATCTCTCAAACTATTTTTCTTTTTGTTTCACTTAATTGCAATCAACAAATTGTTTCATGTCGAGCGACCGTTCAGTCCGGTACTGGTCTTGCGCCACGTATGTGCTTAAGACCAAATCCAGAACATAGTTGGGGGGGGGGGGGGGGGGGGGGGGGGGGGGGGGGGGTAGGGTGGGCCAAACATTTTTTACTCCCAGAAAAAGTGGGTCCAAAATGTTCCGCCCCAAATTTGATATGATAAAAGCAATGGGAGAGGACTCTTCATGACATTGGTCTATGGTAGCGGAATGTTAATGCTGTACGCACTGGCTGCCTTTTTTTGCGACGTCACTAGCTTTAACCCTAAAAAGGACGGGTTATTTTGACCATCTCACTGAGCCGAGCGGGGCGGATTCCCCCCTCGCGGGATCTCGGCCATTGAGTGACAAACTCAGTGCTTGCATAGAACAACTTAATATGAACATACCCAAGAAATGTCATGACTATAGGTTAAAGGGTTTTGGAATTATGGCTAATTAATTAATTCTGCTTAGTGTGCACTACATGAGAAAATCAGTTTGCACGGCGCAATTCTTTCTAATCACAACAGCAAAGAACCCCTTTATCTATCTGTAATCCTTATATGAACACACGTAATTAACAATAGCTGTTTCGGCCAACTACGTCGCCGAAACGGCTAATTATGCACGAACTACTTTTCGTACACAATAACCCCCAACCAAACTTGCGTAGGCTTGACCGTTAAACTTAAATACTGCCCTCAATTGACTCAGGCTATCACCGCAAAATAATCGTCATTGAACAATGTATATGTACTATAACTTGGTTCCCTCGTAGTTAACAGGTTTTGAAGCAAATGAAGTAGTAAATGGAGGATGAAAATGAAAAGTTTGCCGAGTATAGAGTGATATAATATTGAAATTCCAAGAAACAAAATTAATGGATTGAAGATTATAAGGTATTGGAAAAAGACCGAGACGTTGCGGGAAATTTGAATACGGCGAATGTACCGTATACGAAAACAAAATTTCAGCAAAAGTGCATTTTAATGGAACAGGTTCGTTTACATGTCATTTAAATCGTTTGTTTATGACGGGAATTTAGAAGTTGAGAGGTTTTTTTTACATACAATGTATAAAGGCAAAGCGCAAATTGAGCTAACAGGCCTCCAAGTGTTTCAAACTGTATATTAAGACTCAGTGGTTCGAAAATTACTGAATAGCCTAGTGGTTTATAGGGTCGTCGGGGGCCTGGGTTCGAATCCGGATACCCTTGGTGTAATTTTTGGTTTTCAATCCACGCGCTCAGTCTTTTACTTTAAAGAGTCTTTATTTCCCGTCGTCAAATACCAACCGACCTTAGCTCAATCAGTTAAGTCACCGACTGGGACTGTCTGCGAAGTCCAGGTTATGTATCTATTCAATTCAATTCAACATGGTTTATAACCAAATCACGAATAGCAGCCACAGCTGAATTGCACGTGATTTACATTTTTAAAAAAATACATTTTTAAAAAATTTAAAGGCCTACCGAGTTTAAAAAACAAAATATGACATTAAATACTAATATTAGAAAAGGTTTAAACATTGTGCATACAGATCTAGGTACGGGACTCTAAATTTTGCTGTCTCGGCAGCAAGGCACAGGGTGTCGCCTCGTTTCCTCCCTTAACGGTGCTTGCCTATTGGAGCATCTTTGTGGGCCTCGAACTCGATGTTTACAAATAAAGAGGGGTGAAATTTGCATGAAATTGGGCCCTGTATAAAATTGGTATATTTTGCAATGCAGCACAGGCGTCATTTTTCAAGATGGCGATGGGCCACATGACTACTTTTCGGGGTTACATACTTTGATGGAATTTTCTCCAAAAGTCAGCGGATAATTGAACAAAAATTAAACAGAACATAAAAGATTATGATATAAGCTTTAATTTGGTGGGCGTCTCAAGCACTTAAAAAAATGTGTGAGTATTTTTAATAATTTTCGGAAATACGTGTAATTTTCACTCAGGTCCATGGGAGTCGATTTGCAGGCCTGCGCCCACAGCCACCTATTGAGAGGCGTCCTCTCTGGGATTCCACTGGTTATTGTACCGCATATACGTCGCGTAAAACGATGTTAATTTTCAATAACTTCATATATGTCACAGAGCCTGATTGCCTGAACCTGTATGTTATTTTCTCCATTTTGTTACATTACGGTGAAAAGGGTTCTAGAGGTTGTTTTCCCCCGGTTTGGAGCCTAAAATTAGGGTCGGTTAGAAATGAGATTCAAAGAAATGCAGCTTTTCCTATTTTTAATCCTAATATGAAACACACGTAATTAACAAGAGCTGTTTTGGTAAACTACGTTACCAAAACAGCACATTATGCGCGAACTACTTTTCGTACGCTTAACTCCCAAAACATACTGCGCGTAGGCTTGACCGTTAAACCTGAATAGCGCCCTCAATCAAGCAAAAGTAATCGCACAACCGATCGTAATTGTACACTGTACACTAAGTAAATAATCATATACAATTCTTTCGAATCACAAAAGCCTTTATCTTTCTTTAATACAAATATAAACACATATAAACTAACAGGAGCTGTTTCGCCGAACTACGTCGCCGAAACGGCTAATAATGCGCGAACTACTTTTCGTACGTTTAACCCCCAAACCAAACCTGCGTAGGCTTGACCGTTAACGTGAAATAGTGCCCTCAATTTACTGAGAGTAATGCCATAAATAAAAGTAATTGAACAATGTACTCGGTAATAGAATTCTTGCCAAACACTACAGTATACAATGAATTCGAACGCCCTTACTTTCTCTTTCAATATCGGGCGTTACACTATTATTGACAGCGCTCTCTGTTACGTAATTTTTTAACGCATTCATTGTTACGCCGAATCGCAGTATTCAACTTTACTCTCGATGGAGGAACCGCCCCTCTCGATAACTATTTTTCTTTTGTTTCACTCCTCGCAATCAACAAGTCGTTTCACGTCGAGCGATCGTCAGTCCGGTACTGGTTTCGTGCACACGTCCAGAACACGTGGGTTTTTTTTAGGATGGGCCAACTTTTTGTTCCTCGAAAAAGTGGGACCAAAATGTTCAGCCCCAAATTTGATAAGAAAAGCAAAGGATAACCCATCATGGCATTGGTGCATGGTAGCGCAATTTTAATGCTGTAGAAACGCTTTAAATAGAAATGGTTTGGTGATTTTTTTTGGGGGGGGGGGCATGGGCCCCCGTTGTGTAGGTATGTCCTATTCACCTGTGGCATCTTGACAGAGCCGAGGTTTAAACCGATTTTTTTTCAGTGAGTAAAATCCCAGCAAGTTCCCGCATTGTATTCATCTTTATAAATCTTGAGTTCATCAGCTCGCTATATGCGATAGAAATCATTGATTCTTGCTGCGATAAGCGGGGAAATTTTGTTTCTGGAAATAAAAAGGTCATCATATCCATGTTTTGGTTTAATAGTCAGTAACATTGCAAAAGATATGAACTTATCACATCCCTGCCCACTTTATGAACTGTG